CAGGGGTGTGACTTGGGAAGCATGAAAGTGCTGATGAAGGGATCCTTTCTCCTGGCTGCAAAAGCTCGTGTTCCTACCTCCTTCCAGGGTTAGTTTTACCCAGATCATGCATCTCAGCATGTCAGATCCCCTCAAATCTCTGCTGACTACTTCCCTTGCCTGGAAGCTGTCAACATGCCCCTGGTCCTCAGCCGCTTCTGCTTCTCTACAGACCTTTACTGCCCATGCCCACGTCTCTGGCCTCCCTAACATGCCCTGGGCCAGCCTCAGCCCCACAGGGATTACAGCATCCTGGATGAGGTCCCTCCTGTGGCCCACTCTCTAAGGGCTCCCTTTCCCCACTGGTTTCCTTTGGTTCCCTGTTTTCCCAGAGTGCACTCTGCCTCCTTCTCCTCAGAGATGCTACCATTCCAGTCCACATCCCTGCCAGGAATCCTAGGCCTTTGGATCCCCAATACTTCTCAGGACTCGTAGCTGTTCTGGTGAGCAGCCCCAAAGAGTGTTTTCCATACTAAGACAAGGCCTGTGGGGGTTGGTATGTTCCTAGGGGGGTGGGGATGACAATGGGGAATGTTAAAGGATAAATAAAGAAAAAGAAACTGAAATCTCTTGCAAATATGAGATATTACATGCCAAAGAATTTATTGAACTCATTAATGAGAAAACCAGTAAGATGTTAGCAGTGATCCGAAGGAGAGCTCAAAGAGCCATATGTAGCAAGGCAGGCAATAAGGAATGTTGAGATAAATGCACCAACTGATGCCAAATGAGTCCAAAATAAGTTGCATTCCACTTAACACAACTCACTTGCATTTCTTTGGACAAGAACTGCTGGCATTATTACCAGTTTTCTGCAATTTACGGAGTACTAAAATAGCTCAAAATCAGTGAAAGGTGGAGATAACCACGAAAGGTGCTCTAAAAAGGACACCCAGTAAAGACATGGTTTGTTTTCTGTGTTTGTTGGGTTTTGTTTGTCAATTTTAAAGTCTTTCACAATTTTTCCTGATAGGAGAAAGGCCTCTCTCCCTCTTCCAAACCAACCTATGTCTAGTGTTCACTACTGCAAGCATGGTATGTGAGGTGTAAGTAGGCATTTCTGCTTGTGGAGACCAATACATGAGTCTTCTTAACTCCAAACTTCAATAAATGCTGTAGACTGAATGTGTGCACCGCCCCCCTCCAAATTCTTATGTTGAAACCCTAACACCCAATGTGATGGTATTAAGAGGTGTGGCCTTTGGGGTGATTACATCATGAGAGCGGAGCCCTCGTGAATGGGACTGCTGCCCTTATAAAAGAGACTGGAAGGCTTCCTGCATCCTTCAGCAAGAAGATGGCCATGTGTAATGCAGATGAGGGTTCTCACCAGAACCCAGTCGTGCTGGCATCCTGATCTTTGACTACCAGCCTCCAGAACTATGAGAAATACGTTTCTGTTGTTTATAAGCCACCCAGTTTATGTGCTGTGTTACAGCAGCCAAACAGGTGAAGACAGCAAAGGGTAGAAATCTTCACCCTTTTATAGCATTGTTACTCACAGTGTGGTCTGGCATCACCTGAGAGCTTGTTTAGAAATTCAGACTTTGGGTCTCTGTCTAAATCAGAATCTGTATTTTAAAAAGATCATAGTGGGCGCCTGGGTGGCTCAGACAGTTAAGCATCTGACTCTTGATTTCAGCTCAGATCATGATCTCATGGTTCGTGAGTTCGAGTCCCACATTGGACTATGCAATGACAGTGTGGAACCTGCTTGAGATTCTTGCTCTCCCTCTGTCTCTGCGTCTCTCCTGCTTGCTCTCTCTCTCTCTCTCTCTCTCTCAAAAATAAACAAACAAATAAATAAATAAATAAATCTAAAAAATAAAATTAAATTAAAAAATATCCTAGACCTTGTCTCGGGATGAGGAGGGGAGGGAAAAGATCCTAGACCTAAATAAATTGAAAAATACCCCGTATTTATGGATCAGAAGACTTCATACTGTAAAGATAGTAACAGAGCCCCAAACTATATACAGATCCAATGCAATCCCTATCAATATCCCAGCTAACTTTTTTTGGAAAGAAATTGGCAAGCTCCAGAATAGCCAAAAGAATCTTGAAAAAGAAGAATTAAGTTGGATGACTCATTTCCTTCTTTTAAAACTTACTACAAAGCTGCAGTAATCAAGACAGTGTTATACTAGCATAGGCTTAGATATAAAGATATATAAATTTACAGAATAGAACTAGAAGCTTTATTTTATTTTGGGTTTTTTTTTATGTTTATTTATTTTTGAATGAGAGAGACTGAGTATGAGTGGGGGAGGGGAAGAGAAAGAGGAAGACACAGAATCCAAAGCAGGCTCCAGGCTCCAAGCTGTCAGCACAGGGCCCGACATGGGGCTTGAACTCACAAACCAAAAAATCATGACCTGAGCCAAAGTTGGATGCTTAACCGACTGAACCACGCAGGCGCCCCTAGAACTGGAAGTTTTAAATGTGAGACCTAAAACCATAAAAGTCGCAAATGGGAGCAGAGGCAGTAATTTTTTCTGACATTGGACACAGCAACATTTTTCTTGATTCATCTCTTGAGGCAAAGGAAACCAGAGCAAAAACAAACAATCAGGACTACATCACAATAAAAAGCAAAGCAAAGGAAACAATCAGCAAAACTAAAATACAACCTACTAAATGGGAGAAGATATTTGCAAATGACATATCTGATAAAGGGTTAGTATCCAAAATATGTAAAGATTTACAACTCAACACCAAAAACACCCAAATAATCCAATTAAGAAGCCAGCAGAATACATGGACAGACATTTTTCTAAAGAAGACAGACAGGTGGCCAACAGAAACATGAAAAGATGCTCAACATCACTTATCAACAGGGAAATGCAAATCAAAAGGACAAGGAGACATCACCTCATACCTGTCAGAATGGCTAAAATGAATAACACAAGAAACAACAAGTGCTGGTGAAGATGTAGAGAAAGGGGAACCCTCTTGCATTGTTGGTGGGAATGCAAACTGGGGCAGTCACTCTGGAAAATAATGTGGAGGTTCCTCAGAAAGTTCAACACAGAACTATCCTATGATCCAGCAACTGCACTACTAGGCATTTACCCAAAGAATACCAAAATAATAATTCAAAGGGATACATGCACCCCAATGTTTCAATGTTTAGACTAGCATTATCTACAACAGCCAAATTATGGAAACAGCCCATGTCCATTGATTGAAAGAAGAGGTCATATATGTATATATCTACATGTATGTATGTATTTGAAATATTAGTCATAAAAAAGAATGAAATCTTGCTATTCATAACAGCATGAATGGATCTATAGGGTATAAGGCTAAGCAAAATAAGCCAGTCAGAGGAAGACAAATGCCATATGATTTCACTTATATGTGGAATTTTGGAAACAAAACAAAGAAAGAAAAAAATAGACAAACCAAAAAAAAAAAAAAAAAAAAAACCAAAAAAAAAAAAAAAAAACCCCACAAAAAACCAGACTTACAACTATAGAGAACAAACTGATAGTTACCAATGGGAAGGTGTCGGGCGAGGGGAAATGAGTGAAATAGATGAAGGGGATTAAGAGTACACTTATCATGATGAGCACTGAGTAATGTACACAATTATTGAATCACTATATTGTACACCCGAAACTAATATAATAGTGTATGGTAGCCATATTGGAATTAAAATTTTAAAAAAGAAAAGAAGGTATACAAATGGCCAATAAGGACATACAAAGATGTTCAACATCATTAGTCATTAGAGAAATATGAATCAAAACCACAAGGGTTCCTACTTTGCAGTAACAGATAGTAACACTGTTGGAAACCTCACACATCATTGGTGAGAATGTAAAATGGTGCATCCACTTTGGAAAAGAGTCGGCAGTTCCTCAAAATATTAAACACAGAGTTGTCATATGACCTACCAATTCCCTCCTAGGTATAGTCCCAAGAGAATAAAAATGTGTCTACACAAATACTTGCGCACAAACCTTCATAGCAACATTATTCATAATAACCACAAAATGGAAACAACCCAAATGTCTATCAACTGATGAAAGGATATATAAAATGTGACATATCCGTATTATGAAATACTATTCAGCAATTATAAAAGGAAGATTAGAAACATTATGATAAGTACAGAAATCAGACACAAAACTCCACATATTGTATGATTCCGTTTATTTGAAATATTATGAAGAGGCAAATCTCTAGAGACAGAAGGTAGATTAGGGGTAGCCAGTTCTGGGGAGTGACAGCTTAAGGGGAGGGAATTTCATTTTGGAGTGATGAAAATGTGAAATGAGACCATGGTGATGGCTGCCTAACACCATGAATATACTATAAACTATGTAGATATTCACTTCCAAAAGATGAATTTTATAGTATGAATTGTATCTCAAGAGTTATATTATGAATGTTTGAAAAATACAGGTAAGGGGGCATCTGGGTGGCTCAGTGAGTTGAGCTTCCGACTTCTGCTCAGGTCATGATCTCACGGTTCATGGGTTTGAGCCCCGAACCCGGCTCTGTGCTGAATGCTTGGCTTGAAGCCTGGAGCCTGCTTCGGATTCGGTGTCTCCTTCTCTCTCTGCCTCTCCCCCGCCCCCGCTCTGTCTCACTCTGTCTCTCAAAATTAAATAAATGTAAACAAAAATTTTTCTTAAGAAAAGAAAAATACAGGTAAAAAAAGCCTATGGCTTTTTTTCATGAAATATATTCACAAAGCCCAGCAATATATTAAAATATATTAAAAATATATTTTAAAAAGAGTTGTTTTAAAAAATGGCTTCAATACACTCAGCTCGGAGTTGCCCTGGGCCTCGGGCTTCACCCGGGCACAGATGGAATGTTGAAGGCGGTGCCCGGCCCGCCACCCTTCCCCTCCCCTCACCCCTCCCTCGTGACCACGCCCTCTCGCGTAATGGATTTGCATAACAGATTTGCATAACGGATTCAACCCCGGACTTCGGAGTAACGGATGTCATTCCAGCCACATCTGGAGACTGCTGCCAGGCCTGCCTGCTGGCCCACTCTGAAAAGGCGCCGGGGACCCGCCACCACCGCCTTCGGCCTCACAGCCCTCACTCCCGAGGTGCCTTCGCCTTCGCCTTGGTGCCAGCGCCACCAGCCATGGCCACCGCGCCGCCCTCTACAGTGCGCCAGAACTACCACCCCGACTGCGAGGCCGCCATTAACAACCAGATCAACCTGGAGCTGTACGCCTCCTACGTGTACCTGTCGATGGCTTTCTATTTCGACCGCAATGACGTGGCCCTGGGGAACTTCGCTGAGTTCTTCCTGCGCCAGTACCGTCAGGAGAGCGAGCGTGTTGAGAAGCTGATGGATCTGCAGAACCACCGAGGGGGTCGCATCCACCTCCGTGACATCAGGAAGCCTGACCGCGACAACTGGGAGAGCGGCCTGAATGCCATGGAGTGCGCCTGTCACCTGGAGAAGACCGTGAACCAGAGCCTGCTCGACCTGCACCAGCTGGCCACCCACAAGGAGGACGCCCACCTGTGCAGCTTCCTGGAGAGCAACTACCTGCACGAGCAAGTCAAGGCCATCAGCAAGATGAGCGACTACGTGACCAACCTGCGCAAGATGGGGGCCCCAGAAACCAGCCTGGCAGAGTACCTGTTTGACAAGCTCAGCCTGGGCAAGAGCAACAAGAACTGAGTTGGGACTGTTTCCCCATAGACACAGCGTGCACGGTGACTTCCCCTGGTCACCATGCCGAGCATGCAGTTTGCAGTAGTGCCTTTGCAGAACGTTCCAGTTTTCTTCTTCCAGTTTTGCCATAAATAAATAAAGTTATTTGGTTTCAATAAATTTACTTGGTTCTGAAATAAATAAAGGTGTCTGGGTGATTCGTGTGCACATCTCTCACCTTTTCAGTTTTTAAACAGGTAACCAGGAGTCCCTCCACCCACCCAAACCCATCTGTATGCAGCTCAGGATCTCCAGAAATGGAGGGACCATTTTCCTCGGGTTCCTTGGGACCCTGGAAAATGCAAATCAATCCCCTGATAAACGGTTGTGAGGATGAGGGTGGGGTGGGGTGGGCCGGGGCGGGGCGGAGTGGGGCGGGGCCGGGTGAGGTGGGTGGTCTGGGACCCTGGTGTTGGTGGGCGTGTATGTATGATAAAAATATAAAAGAACAACGATGCTCAGCATCCCTCCTCATCAGGGAAATACAAATGAAAAACACACTGAGATACCACCTCACGCCAGTCAGAGTGGCTAAAATGAGCAAATCAGAGAACTCTAGATGCTGGCGAGGATGTGGAGAAACGGGCACCCTCCTACACTGTTGGTGGGAATGTAAGCTGGTACAGCCCCTCTGGAAAACAGTGTGGAGGTTCCTCAGGAAACTAACACTAGAACTCCCCTAGGACCCAGCAATAGCACTGCTAGGAATTTACCCAAGGGATCCAGAAATGCTGAGGCATAGGAGCACGTGTACCCCAATGTTCATAGCAGCACTCTCCACAATAGCTAAAACATGGAAAGAGCCTAAGTGTCCATCAACAGATGAATGGATCCAGAAGATGTGGTTTATCTATACCATGGAATACTACATGGCAATGAGAAACAATGAAATCTGGCCATGTGTAGCAACATGGATGGACCTTGAGGGTGTTATGCTGAGTGAAATAAGTCAGGCAGAGAAGGACAAATATCATATGTTTGCACGTATAGGAGGATTAGGAGGGACTTGACGGAGGAACGAGGGGGAGAAGAAGGGGGGAAATGGTGGGGGAAAGGGAGAGAGGCCAACCATGAGAGACTCTTGAATGCTGACAAAAACTGAGGACTGATGGAAGTGGGGGGAGGGGG